TGATTACGTCCACTTATGTAACTGAGATGTATAAACCTTGTTTGAGGTTAGAGCAGTCTCCTTTGCTTGAACAATCAACATATGTATCTCATTCACGTACTGCTTGACCAGTGTGGGGACTGGATTACAACAGGCAAGAACGCCTTGGGCTTCTCTAAAAAGACAAAAAAAAATAGTCTGTAACAGTTTCACAACTGTGAGGAATAAAATACGGCACGATGATTTCTATTTTCTGGTCTTAGTCCCGTTCTATACAGTTTTTTTTTTGCTTATAGTTTGGTCCCTCTTTGAGCTGCACTGTAGCTACTACCTTGGCATAGTTTCCGCAATCTGGAACATCATGTGATTTGGGAGAACAAAACTAAAAGAAAAAAAGAAGACAGCATAGCCTATTATATCATTAAAATGATTGAATTTTCTTGCCAAAAGTTGATAGCTTTTAAAAAAGAAATCTGTGAAATTTTATTACAATACAAAATTGATGAGCTTTACATTTTGATCATACACGACAAGTTGAAATTAAACAGGGATAAATCCACAAACAAGGTCTTTCTACAAAAGATAGTTTAGTTCCAAAGTTTGTTGGCTGAATAACGCATTCAACGAGACAGATGAGTTATCTTACTCAGTACAAATTTAGCCTCACCCGCAGCTTTCATCCTCTTCTCGTGCAATGTTATCTCTCCACGCAAACAGAAGGCGGAATGCATGCATCTGTAAAATGAACAGTTCTTTTCAATGAAAAGTACACCAACAGATAGGCTGGATACAAAAGTACACCAACAGGTTCCGCCTCCCGGTTAGCTCAATTGGTTAGAGCGCCGGACTGTTGTGCGGGAGGTCGAGGGTTTGAGCCCCGGCCGGACCAACACTCAAGGTCTTAAAATAACTGAGGAGAATGTGGTACCTTTCTATAATATCAAGAAATGGATAGACATTCTAGTCTTCTCGGATAAGGACGAAAAAACCGTAGGTCCCGTATCCTGCATCTAGTGATTAGTTAATTTGGTTAGGCAGGGGACGTTAAAGAACCCACTCACGAGATTACTGTGATGTGGTCTGGCCTATTTACTGGGCCCGCAGTAATTGGCGCAAGCTGTTGCGGAGTCCCTGCCTGTCGGCGAAGCTAATAAATTAAATCAAATCAATTAAAATTCCTTTGAAATCATCAGACGAGTAGGAAAATATAGCTGAAGTCACAAATCAATTCAGACAAGGCAAATTTGTATCGAGAGCCCAGGTATTTAAATTAGTAAATCAGAGAGCAGTCATATCACCTGCGCAGTGTTGAATGTTCGCTTGTGTTTCTCCAGTACTTTTCTGTAAGATTCACTGGTAAATAATGGTTTCTCATAGCACTATATAAATGAAAAACAAAAAAAAAGAATAAGTCATGTCAAAATAATGTTCCTTAGAGATTCGTTAGTTAGTTGCTGTTCAGAAAAATGAGTCCATGGGACAGAGCAAACACTGAACTCAGAGGGCAACCAAAATCAAGCCTACATTGTACAACTCCTTGATTACTAAAAGAAGCAGAAAAATTAAAGAACATAATTTCCAGTTTGTTCGACATAAGCTCTGATTGTTTTCTTGTGCAAGAAACTGTACTTTCCACCTAGGAGTGAGTAAATGGATATCAGTGAATTGTCAGGGAAATCCAACATAATTATGTGGGGTGGAAGGTTTGGGAGTCACCTGCCATGGACTAGCATCCCATCTAAGAGAGTAGTAAAACTCCTGATCACTTCACGCTACAGAAACTTGAATAAACTTCAGCTGGATGGGCTGCTTGGCTTCTTACCTTTTTTCTCACAAGGTACCAAACCCTCTAACTCCCATGAGTGATCAAGCAGACAAATCATGAGAATAATCTAAAACCAAATTCTCCAAACTAACATCATAAAAACTGTATGGTAGACAGCAAAGGGAATTACTAAATACATCTTGGGCACGGAAGAGTTGAACCGCACAGTGACCTACATGTTGAACTACTTTGGCTAACTCAAAGTTCGCAAGCAAGATACGTCAGCTAACTGGAGCAGCAATGCAACAAACCTTTAAGCAAATATCCTTGCTCCTGGAGTACACTGATTGTAATAAGTTGTTATTTGCATTTCCTCTTTTTATGAGATCGTTATGCATACGATCACAAATGTATAGCAAATAATGTGTGTCTTCTCTGGCGTAGCGCACCATCTCTGAAGGCAGAGGTCTGTTATAAACAAATTTGATTATTAAAATATTAATGTTTACATGAAATGATCACTGTTATAATATTGTAATTTTATCCATCAAATTTTGGCAGCATTAAACACTAAAATAAGCAACATAACAATGAATGAGCTGGTCAGAGGGGTTGACTTCTAAACAAGGATGCAGTTTTTTTTGTCCCTTACTTGTCTAAATTTCTTCAAGAAAAGAAAAACTGTTACACAACAAAACTATTCATCACCTTATCCTCCAATCTGCCAATTGGTATTGTTTATTTGCTGTGACATCACAAAACTTCTTCAGCAGGAAAGCTAAGGAATACTTCTCATAGTTTAGCACTCTGGCAGCCTGGCCTGTGTCAAACATATTGACAACATAAATACCAAAGTCTCGCTGCAGCCATCCAATATCCATATCAGCTCCATGAAGAACCTGCAGGAAATAAAAAGTTTAGTATCATGTAAATGCATGTAACAAGTTGTTAATTCTATGGCATAAAAAAAAATGCCGTGCAAACCAGAGTCACGAAGAAGTTATTTGGTATTCTGGTTTATCTGGCTTACTGGCCTCATCTATGTCCCCCCTCCACTAAAGTTCTTTCCTTGTGACATTCATGAGCTTTATATGATTATAAGATCAAAAATTAGACAGTATTTTAAATGTACCCAGAAAGTAATATTACCTTCAGTATGTTGGGATTGGTGAAATAGTCATTAAGGATTTGAAGCTCACTGCGCAGCTCCAGTGTGTCAATGAGAAAATCTTGGTGCTGTGTGGATATCTGCATCAAGCAACAAAATCCTTGGAAAGATCTGTAGGAATGAGCCTAGAGAGCAAAAACATGAAAGGTGAGTGAAATACAGAAAAATGCCAAAAAATCTCAAGCCACCCTGAATCCAGGTTCTTGTAAAAAAATCACTCATTGGCAAGACAGTTGTGTAGTGGCTACAAAATGGCTACAAAATGCCTACTTTGCCTCCAGTGGGAACCATAGCCATACTCAGTCACCCAACTGAATCATGTATTGCTGATAACTCATCTCTAGCTATCAACATGATGTACCTCTAGATCCACTGCAAACTCTGTCACAGTTGCAAGGTGCTGGCAAAGCTGTTCAAGCTGTTCTGCTGTTTCAATCATAGTGAATGGAGTTTTCTCAAGTTCATCATACAGCTGGCAACCAAAACAAAAAAATAAAAAAAAACCTAAATATGGTCCATTACTTTGCTTTCAAAAGGCCAGAATAATCTACATGTGTTTTAATCCACTATGAATTATTTTGATGAAAACTACGTGAATTATGTGTACTACAACATGTAAATTGTAAATCCTTCAAAGTAAAATTTCATGCTTGCCTTGTATGATGGGTCTATTCTATAACATCCATGTTGTTAAGACTATAAATCATTTTACAGGTACATTTGGGCTAACCTCCTCTTTCCGTAGCATCAACTGATTTTCTGGAGGTTGAAACACTTCAAGTTCATATTGGTAAGGATGGGCTGTACTGAAATGCACCCACAAAACAAAAATAGTGATGAAACATTTGCATGCTTAAGCTTTGTATATAAATTTACAGCTTATAGCAGATGGATACAAGAACAACTCACAGAGAACCAATACATAGCGCAAAAAACAAAACAAGCCCAAATACTAGGTACTGACATACTTATTAATTTATTATAATCACCTGTTTACAGAAGAACTGCTGATTCCCTTTACTCTCTCTCGATGCACAAAGTCAGCAATAGATGATGGTACTTGTGCATTTTCATGAAGATGTCCACTGCCGCTTATTTCATCTGAAAAACAACAGACACAAATCAGTCTAATTCTCCTGAGTTGACAGATTTACATCAATTATTATCTTCCCCATTTCTTGGTTTTCTAGTTTCCTGGAGTAGTTAAATTTATTTTGTATTGAATACAAGGCTATTTTTCCTTCCAAATCTGCAATATACAGGCTGTTGTCATGACACTGACTCGACATAAAAGGCTCTGATATTTTTCTGTATGGGGTCAAATGATTTCAACCTACCAACTTCAAAAGGCCTCAGAGCATTAGGCTTTCTCTTTATAATTGGAATAAAAGGAGTGTTGCTGTTGTCAATCTTGTCTTTAAATTTCAGTTGTGGTCGTTGAATGTTTTTAGCCATGAGAAACCGGAAGTTGGTATCTTTCTTCCCCGGGGTGTCTTTCTGTAAGTTTATAATACCAAAAAAAAACAAAATGGAAAAACAGCTCAGCATATAATTATGGAATCAAAGGTTAATTGTATACCAAATGCATTAATTTTTAAGACCAGCATGAGATAGTACTGATTCTAAGTACTGTAAACACCAATATAAATGCCAAACTTGCAGATAAGCCATACCTTGAGTTGGAACCTCAAATTTTAGAAAAAATTAAGTTTTTTAAAAGAAACAGAAAGAAATCACAAATAGAGTCCTAGAAGCTGTTCTATTTGGTTGCTCCAATGATCCTAACCTATAACTTTAGCAGCTATACATGTAGCATGGACATCATGTCTAGTTATTTGATCTCACTCTGGTAATCTGTTAGACTGCATTTGTTTCAATCCTGTCAAATTTTCAAAAGAGGTTTACATAAATGAAAGGAAATATTGAGCTCCTGTGTATTTGTAGCTTGGTAACATGCCATTTGATACAGACTTAAACATTTGCGATTAATGGAGCTAAGTTCTGCAGATTTGCAGCACATTCTGCAAAATGTTCTATTGCAACTAAGTCAAACCCCAGATTTGTTACAAAATGTTCAGGGAAAAAGGTGCTGCTTATTGTTTGTAGCAATTAAATTATGCATATGTCATGGACTTTTAACGAATCCACATTGTTTCCCTTCATTTGAAATTTATTGCATGTTTACACTGTACCTTAGCTCTGTTCCAACTTGACACAATTGGTGTTCCTTGTTGCCCAGGAGCTCCAGCAACTGTCTGGTTTGTTTTGTTTGATTTCAGGCCTGCAGCCTCATCAAGGTTTGTATCCTTTTGAGACAAATATTAACATTAATAAGGATGAACGTCCGACTAAAAGCCAGTGATAATAATCTTAATAAACTCACCACTCTTTCCAGAAGCATGTCATTGGCTTCTACAAGACTGTCAACCAGCTCATCACTGTCTGGATCCATATCATGAGTATCTGATGGCCACTGACAATGAACTTTCCAATGACGCAACAGATTACCGATGCTGTGAGAACAATTGGACATTATTGTCTCTTTGATTCAAATAAATGTCATGCGCTTCACATAATAAAAATGATTAGTCACCATAGAGATAATAATAACTCTTAAGAGAAGTAAAATCACTTGTAAATGATGTGAATGTTGCAGGTAATTTTCTTTCTAAGGTAAATTTAATTTTTCACGAGGTACAATTTTTTAACCTGGGTAATTTTGCACCCCAATATTTTTTTCATTTCCTATGGGGTAACTGTCTTTGTGACTCTCTTTTTATTGATAACAAAGACAGAAATATTATTTGGGTTTTGCCAAGATAAGGATATAACAATCTGAGAGCAACATTTTCACTGCAATTAGCCTGATTCTGTCAGTTAGTCAATCAGAGGATTACATCAAGGGTAAGGGCTGTGGATTAAGGTTTAAGGGTAAGGCTTAGGATTAAGATAAAAAAGGGAGATAGATTTTGAAAAAAAAAATAGATGGTTTACTGTTACTATTAAAACACATATAAACAACAAATAGAAAAATAAACTTGAAAGCAGTTTTATTGTCTATCGTTCCATTACCATTTTACATGCTGCTTTAAACGTTATTTCTTTAGTAGTTTCAAAGACAATATTTGGTCTCCAGCATTTTGTCAATCTTGAGGGGGAAATGAAAGTTGTTATTAAACCAAATTTGGTTGCTATTCTTGCACATATGTTTTCCATTTCAACTATTTTCCCAAATAGGACATGGAGATGAAGCGCAGTACTTTTATTAACCTTATCAATCCAACTATACATGTGCCAGAAAATTACTTGACTGTAGTGGTTTCGTTAATGGCCACTTCAAATGATCAGTTACACTTTTTTTGTGGTTGGTGTGGATGGCAAAGACTGACAAATAGTGTTATAACATATATTTGCACGATCCTTCGCAGTAAAGCACTATTTGAGCAATAGTGAAAATCAGACCTGAAAAAAATTTCAGGCCTGTACGGGACTCGAACCACTGACCTCTGCGATACTAGTGCAGCGCTCTACCAATTGAGCT